AGGGAGCCCGATGCGGGACTCGATCCCGGGACTCCAGGATCATGACCCGAGCCGAAGGCAGTCGCCCAACCAACTGAGCCACCCAGGCGCCCTTTTATAAATTCTTAATATGCATACTTTTTATCTTATGTATATGTTTTATCTCTGAGAGATACATATTACAAAGTTCTTGGGAACACTTTTGCTCTTTCATATTCAGGCGTATAACTTTAATTTTATTTTAAACTTTAAAGTTAAATGATGAAAAGCTGTATGATATAAAAAATATGTATGATAAAAGTTGAACCTACTTATTTAATACACATCACAATTTCATTAACCTGTTAAGATAAAACTGATATAAAAAGAGATTAATTGAGCTAAACCATATGTTTAGCACATACTTTTTCTCCAAGAAGCAAATAGAAGCCATTAGTTAGAGAACAGACTTGTAGCCATTAGGAGCATGGATAGTAGCAATTTGTAACTGGTAAGGTATACACCAGTGTCATTAATTACATAACCAAAAGAGAAAATGCTACTCTTCTATAAAGAGATAAGAATTGTGGTTAGATAATGAAGCGATACAGTGCTGTAACCACACTCCAGAAGACCGGGCCTGGCAGTTTGAATCATGACGATAGAAGAAACAAGAGAGGACTAATGAAGTTCCCATCTCCCAGCTTAGTAGCTGATAATTAAATTTAGATAGAACAGCTACATCTCTAACAAATCATAGATCTAGAAAGGAGTAGTAGAAGCCAATCAGGATAGCAAACAAACTCCCAAACATCACTTCATTGTTGGACATCTCTAACGACTCTGTGGGACAGTATGGAAGCCTCAACAGGAAGTGCTGGGCCTGCCAAACCCTCTTTAAATATGCCAGAATATTGTGAGTTCCTTCCAGTCAGTTTTAGTGGGTCCACACAGGCTCTAAGTCAGAGAGCAGATGCGTCAGTCAAATACATTGTACAGAAAATGCACAAGAACTGCCTCTCTGGTCCCACAATTACATTCTACTTGTCAAGTGATACATTGTCCAAGGTTTTAACTATTGCTGTTGCCTCCAATATGATACCTGCCTCTCCACCAGGTTGTGTATTCTCCTGCCTGTTAGAGTCTCGGGCAAGTCACTCGATGTCTTTAGGCTTCATTTTTTTTTCCTCTGCACAAAAAG